TATATATTATGATAATTAAATAGTTAACTTTAAAAATATTTTTACAACTTTTTCATGTAATTAATATGACTGTCATTTTAAAATAAAATATAGCTTAACATTTAACTGAGACTTTTTCTTTATTATTATTATATGATAATATAATTTTTTAATGAAAAAAAGGATAACCACACTTCTATAAATGAGGTTGGTATTATCCTTCCACCAAAAGTGAAGATTCACCTCAATAATATATATTTATATTTAATTAATATATATTAATTGAGGTAAACTTCTTATTTTAATTAGAAAAAATATTAATAAATTATATTTAATTTTTGTGTTTTTTTTACATGTTTATTTACTAATTTTATGTTAAGATTGGTTAAAAATTGTTTTGCAAGAGGAGCATAAAGCTGAGAGAGGAAAGGACGGAGGAAAAAATATATTATATATATAAAAAGATAGGTTATTTATTTAGCATATTTTGAGCCATAAAACATAAGGGGAGGAGAAAGATGATGATAAAGTTGCATCAATCACAACACAGCAAGGAGAGGCTGTTGTTTCTGCAGAGGCCATTTGTTCAGAGTGTGAGTGGTGCATCTGTTTCTCTTCCAGTATGGTTGGGGAAGAAAGTGCAGAGGCAAAAACAGCTTGTGTTGGTTTCTCGCAACGTTAACGCTTGTGCAACTTTGACAGGCACAGATTCGATAACAGAGAAGAGCACAGTGAAGGTTACAGCCATAGTTAAGGTAAAAATAACTGCGTCTGGTTTCTTTTCTAGTCTCCGCTTAGACCGAGGAATCGACGATATTACTGATTTGCTTGGTAAATCTCTCCTCCTCGAGCTTCTTAGTTCTCACCTTCATCCAGGTATCTTATCTTACTTTCTTTTAATTCTACAAATATAACTTCTCATACAATAGCATGCACTAATATTCTAAGAGTTAATTATTTATATACTGTATAAATTTCTTTTATACTGACAACCAATCATATATTTTAATAGTGTCATATCAATTACTTATTTAATGAAATAATAATAAAATAAAATAATATAAAAGATATGATTGGTTGTCAGTGTAAAAAAATTTACAATGATAGTGTATGAATGATTAACTCTATTATAAGAGTTAATCATTTATACACTGTCAATGTAAAGTTTTTTTTAACTGACAACTAATCATATATTTTAAAAGAGTCATGTCAGTTGCTTATTTAATAAAATAATAATAAAATAAAATAATTTAAAAGATATGATTGGTTATTAATATAAAAAATTTTACACTGACAGTGTATGAATGATTAACTCATATTCTAAAATCTAAACTTGCTAATAGTTATTTATTTACAAACCAAGGTGCAGCTTCTTTATTAATATTGGTAAAGAGAAGAAATAAAGAGGGAAGAAGAAAAGAAAAATGTAAAAAAAAATATAAAAGTATAAAGTAGAAATAAAAGTTGTTTAGTAAAAAATAAATAAAAGAGAAATAGAGTCTAAATTAATTTTTTATAAATAAATTTTATTATTACTGTTAATTATAAAATAAATACATATGATTTTATTTAAAATATCAAATAAAAATGCTCCTATTATTATAAAAACTATATTATTTTTTATCTAGAGAGAGATCTACTTATTTTATTATTACTGTTAATTATAAAATAAATACATATGATTTTATTTAAAAATTCTTAATGTATGTATCAAGTTTACAAGTTTTTTAAAAAAATTAAAAATTATAGAATAATTCATTATATAGATTCAAATTATCATATAAAATATTTTTATGACTATCCGTCAATTTGAATTAATGAAACAAAATACTAAATAATTTATAAATTTTAAAAAAATTCATAGACTTAATTTGTGTATTTAGACTTTTTAATTCAATAGTTAGATCGTTGAAATTTGAAATGAAACATCAGGTATCGAATGAAATAAGTCTACCAAATCTTACTTTTAGACTTTGTTTTGGGGGAGAGGAAGAAATAGAAGAGAATAAGAGAGAATATGTGAGAATTAATTTTATAAGAATTAGGTAAGAAATTGAATGATATAAAATATAATTTGTAGTTATTTGGTAGAGTAAAATTAAGTAAGAGATAAAGTGAATTTTGGTATTTATAATTATTATTTTACCCTCACTTTATTATATAATTAGAATTAATGTTTCATTTTATATGATTTTACATATTTTCTAAAATCCACAAGAATCTTTCAATAAAGAAGATATAAAAAATGAAGTGAAATTCATTTTTAATTCTTCACAATTCTCCTTAAATACTTCCTACAAACATATATATATTTTTTAAAATCTATTCTAATTCATCCTCTCTTTATTAAATCACCTTCACCAAACATAAACTTAACTTAGGGTAAGAGTAAGTGAATTAATATTCCTTGAATATCTATATATCAAACAATAAACAAAGAAACAACTATGGAGGTCAAGCAACACGCCGACAGCAACGAGTGCATGTCGTAGCAACAGTAAATTTTACGCACTTCCCCTCATATTTAAGGGATTTTTTTTTCTTCTTCTTTACGGTGGAGTCCATTTAAATTTTAATACACTTTTTTTTTCTTTCCTCTTACCGAAGACACTCCATCTTTTAACTTCTCTTCTCCACATTTCTCTTTCTTTCTCTTCTATTTTTCTTTTCCTAAACACACCATAAAGGTAAAATATGTAACTTTAAAAATCAAAACAAAAATTACAGAAAAAAGAAATCATAAATTAATTAATAAAACTATTAGAATTTATGTTAGTATCTTAAAGATAATCATAACTATAACTTACAACTATATTCCTTTTAAAAAAACAAATATGTATATATTAACAAATCTCTTTCTCACACATTATGTTATATTGACTATTATTTTAAAATTTTAAAATCCTGTAAAAAAATTATTTTAAAATAAGTGACTTGACATATTTAAAATAAATGTTACATTATTTTAAAAAAAAGTTAAATTAATAATATTTTTTTTGGAAAATATCATAATTATAATAATTAAAAACATAATTTATCTTGATATGTTAGTAATAATTAGAATGTGAGAGACAGTGAAAAATGATGATACCTACGAAAAGTCGAATTGAAAACGAGATGTGACAAGCACGGGCCCAAGTAAAGTTAGTTAAGGACAGCAAAACATGTTATATGTATCACAAAATCACCTCAATAATATGTCAAGAGTCAATGGGAAACAACTAGGCCTGAGCACGGGTCGGGTTCGGACGGGTTCGGGTAAAAAATATTTAACCCAATCCAAACTGACCAAAAAAAAATTTAACCCATTTTCGACCTAACAATGTTTTTGGGTTTATCGGGTTCGGATTTGTCGGGTCTCGGATTAATCGGGTCGGTCTAGTCGGATTCGAGCGCAAGTTCGAGCGCTACCAGCACCTCCTCCAGAGCTTCACCGACGCCGAAACCCTAGACGACGCCTTCAAGTGGATGGCCAAAATCAAGGCTTCGTCTGTTATTTTTCCGGCCCCAGGGGAGTTTACTCAACCCATTCCCCAGTCTTCCGCACTGCTCAAGTAAGTGTGCGACTCCGTATGAGGACCTCCTTCCCTTCCGGCCCCAGGGGAGTTTACTCAACCCATTCCCCAGTCTTCCGGTGCACTCGCTTTATATCTCCGACACACAAGGAAGGACGCGGTGGGAATGTTGGCGAGCTTCTGAACCGCCTCAAGGTCGCCACTGAAATCAAGGACAAGTTTGTTCTTCAGAACAAGCTTAATAGGGCGTTGAGGCTGAGCGGCGGTGGTTAGGTTTTCTGAGCACAAGAAGAGAAGGTTTCGTCACTTTCGTGAGCAGCGGCTAGGGTTCCTCTCGCGGTGCTAAAAGAATAAATATACACCTTTGAATTATTTTGGGTCGGTCGGGTATGGATATCTACGGATTCAAATTTTTTAATCCGAACCCGACCAACAAAACCCATAATAAACCGACTCTAACAAACCCGAAAAACCGAGAAACCGCAAAAAACCGGCCGCACAAAGGAACTTACCTGCGGGCACTTCGGATTCGGTCGGGGACGGAATTTATGCTCACCCCTAGAAACAACATGTAATTTATTATTTTTTGTTATTTTGTGTTGGTGGTTCACCTTTATACTTAAGTAATACAATAAAATCTTTGTCGTCTTTTTGTTTTTTCTTTCTTTAAAGATATGCACTACTGTTCACTAGTTTAATTATAATATAATTACAATTAAATCGATAATAATAACATATATATTTTCAATAATATATAATATATTAATAATGAATTATTTAAATTTATGAAAATTGGACGAAATATTAAATTAAAATAAAATATAAAAATATATTACGCATCTTATATATTAAAAATTTATAATAAACAGTAAAAAATATTAATCTATATTTAGATCTCACACATAAGGCCTTATTTATTTAAAACTGTTTCAATTTTTTTTTGAAAAATCTGTTCAAAATTGATTTTTCTTTTGCAATGTTTTTTTTTTTTTAAAAAAAACCGACTTTTAACCAATTTTATAGCTTTTTAATCTATTTTTTTTAATCATGTTATTCGTGTGAATTATTACTGATTTTTGCCAATAATTATTTTTTGTTAAAAAATTAATTGACAATAGGGTTTCTAAAAAAGTCATATCAAACATAATTCATAATCGGTTGATATTTCTAATTAAACTCATTTTTTAGTCTATTCTTAATTTCTAATTATCATGCTTAATTATTCTACAGTTTCATAAGATTTGTTTCTTCCATTTTTCAATATTAACGAGTTGTACAATAAATATTAGTATATGAGTAAACAATTTATGTACTAACAGCGTAATTTTTCTTTTTACAGAATCACTCACTGGCTTATTCAAGTAATGATTTGTATATGGAATATTTTACAATATTGTTAGCAAATAAATTTGTGAACCTTTTAATTTGAAAATAAATATTTTTAATTGAGAAAGTATTGAAAAAATATTATCTAAAAAATGAAATCATTATTTAGAGAGAAGGATGAAAAAGAGAAATTAAGGCAGATAAAGAAATTAATGAGATGTTAAAATGATAATTAAGATGATAGAAAAATAATAAAAGTAATTTTTTAAATAAGGATAATTTTAAAAATATAAATTACTTTTTTATTTCTTTAAAATTATTAAATGATTTTAATATTTTGTTTTGTAAATCTATAAATTAAAATTCTTAACTTTGGAAAGTAAAATTTTAATTCTATTGATCTATAAATCTTTTAATTAGACATTCTCAAACTTTCTTTTTTCCCTTTATAAGATGCATTTCTCACAGGATTTCAAATTAGAAACAAAACCTTTTATCAAACATCCCAATCTACTCTCTTTTAATTTGAATAAGGCTTTTTTAAGATGCTTACTCAAATGCTAATACTTGAACTTGAGTGCTTATGGAATACTCTCTCTTTTGACGAATGTTTAATCAAGTTAATTACTTAAACACGTTCTCGTAAACATTGTGTATGTGTTTCTTAAAATAATTATGATAAATTATGATTACAATTACGTGATTAATTGTGGGTTTAGTGACGGGACTAGAGAAGGAAACGCTTAAAGCATATGCACACAAAACAGTTCAAGGCAAGGACTCGGTTAATTATGTAACAAAATTTGATGTTCCAAATGATTTTGGAGGAATTGGTGCTGTTCTCGTTGAGAATGAGCATCACAAAGAGATGTTCCTTGAAACCATCCTCCTCGATGGCTTTCCCGAGGGTCCTATTCATTTTGATTGTGCCTCTTGGGTTCACTCTAAGTTCGATAATCCAACCAAAAGGATCTTCTTTTCCAACAAGGTACGTAGACACTATGCAATAATACAATTATCGTTATATGATTTTCACAAATGTGATACTATATATTAATTGGTGTAGTGTTACTTACCACGAGATACACCGAGTGGTTTAAGAAGACTAAGAGAAGAAGAATTGAGTAATCTCCGAGGCAATGGAGTAGGAGAACGCAAATGCTTTGAAAGAATATACGATTACGATGTATACAACGACATTGGAGATCCTGATAAAAGTCTTGAACTTCAGAGACCTCCTTTAGGAGGTAAAGAACGACCTTATCCTAGACGTTGTCGAACTGGTCGTCCACATTGTGAAGCAGGTTTGTAATGTTTATATCCTATTATTTCTCATCCATCAAAACATATTAAAGAACACTCATTAATATCATATCAAAGTTTTGAGTATGCAGTTGTATTAAATATTCAAAGAGACAACTTTATCATTCATAATGATGTTATTCAATTCAAATAAGATTATTTATGATTGATTATCCATCAAAATATAAACCTTAACAAGTAGTCTCATGTTTGAGTTCTGAATATGTAACTGTATCAAATATTATATGAAAAACTTAGTCATCTATAATGGTCATACCAAACTCTTGAACAGTGATAGATAAATGTATTAAAGATTAAATTGAGGCTTAATTGCATGTGTAATGTGGATTGCAGATCCATTGTCGGAGAAAAGAATTGGACACTTTTACGTTCCAAGGGATGAGTGCTTCTCAGAGGTGAAGCAGCACACGTTCTCAACTAAGACCTTACACTCGGTGTTGCTAATATTGCTTCCTTCTCTTGGAAAAATTATCAAGGAAAAGGAACTTCCATTTTCGTTCTTCCACGACATAGATTCACTCTTCAGCATTGGACTTGACTTACCTCCTGAGCATGAAAACGACAAGGGATTCCTAGGAAGCATCATGCCCAGACTCGTCAAATCCATTGCTGGCGAGGGACGACACGTGCTTCGATTTGAGACCCCAGAGACGATGAACAGTATGTCACATTTCAATTCTCAATCCATTATTTCATTTCACTTATTCATACTATATATATATATATATATTGAATTTGACAAAACATAGATATAGAATGACACTACTGTTCTCCTATTATAGTAATTTTATTTTAATAATACAGTTAACATTCAACGAAATCCTTCATTTTCCAATTCCAATTTGACTTGGATATCAACACCGACACTTGTAATATTGCATATAAATTTTATCCTATTTAAATTTAATCTAATTATAAAATGAATGATCAAATTTAGTAGAAATTAAATTTAAAATTTAAAATTATGTAGATATTATTTCAACTTCCTGTTACTAGGGCAATCCTAGCGATTAAATGGATGATCAAGTTAAACTCTTATATTTATGAGTCCTTGATCAAATTGCATAAACGTTTATGTTTTGGTTTGCAGGGGACAAGTTTTTCTGGTTCAGGGATGAGGAATTTGCTAGACAGACTGTTGCTGGTCTCAACCCATGTAGCATACGATTGGTCAAGGTATGCATTATTTTACACACACTGATTTTAATTTTTCAATTAAAAATTAACTCATTGAAAGTCCAATATTTTTTCTATTTTTTAGACCAACGTATAAGAAATTATGACACATGAGTTGTTGAAGGTACTTTACTTTCTTGAGCAGGAAT